TGTGGGATCTAATCGGTCTATTGGAGGTAATTGGCAGCAGGCGGTCTCTCAAGTACCCAGGTCCAATACCATGTGTTTTTAATGTTTTTTTAGCAGGGTGTGGATGTGTCTAGGGAGCTTGCAACGCACCTGTCTATTTCTGCACATCAATACCCTTCCTGTCTTGCTTCTTCAGAGTCCAACTTTGGATTCCGTAGAGTATCACAGGGAATACTGTGATTTGCATAATTTTGATCTTTGTACATATAGGCACATCCAAATCAACAGTAATGTATTTGTAGAATAAAAAAGCTGCCCCAGGACTATGTGGCGTCTGGATTTCAACTTTCTTTTAAGCTCTGAAGTTTGTTAAGGCCGGTCCCACTTTCCAGAATGAATGTGAGGCCGTGTGCAATCTCCACATCTTTCCGAAGGACAAACAGGATACAATATACATATCTGAAATGTTGCCGAAATGTTAAGGAGTTCCCTCTGTTTCCTTTTCTGAATTCTCAAGGTAAAATGTGAGGTTCTTTCCAAAGTTGCACCCTTCCCTGAGTAGGTGTTTGGCTTGCAACTGGCTTTTCTTGCAACGCAAGTATGCTTTGGACATTCCAGGCTATCAAAAGTGCGATACGAGGATTATAAATGTTTACATATTGGCGTTTACCTATTCATTCAGAAAAAAAAAAACGGAGCAGGCTAAAGGTTATGAAGGCAATTTTCGCAGCTTCTTGGATGAAAAATCTCTTCGGATCCACCTAAGACCTAAGACGTATCCACCAGAAGGATATCTGTACAGATGTCAGATTGCAAAAGCTTCAGAAACTGGATTGTCCCCCGTGGATTGGGCTCCCCAAATCTCGGAAAATATTTGTAGAGAACCGTAACGCTGAAACCTGATTTTAAAGTACATGGCTTACTTAACCTCCCATTTCATTTTTAGAAAATAAAAAATTAAGGAAGGGGATTTTCAACCACGGATCTTCGAAGGCCTCGTGTTAGTGGAGGTTTTGTCTGTGAACTTTGCATACAACTGCAGAGTTAAGGGTCATCCAGTGAGCACCTGAACCAAGACCACCCCGAGCTGGACTCTTAAATATTCTAAGCGGTGGAGCAAAAGGCGTCAGCATACGGAGGCAATCTAGTTCTTGTTATGCAACTCGTTCCTTTTACATGCGTTCTAGAATCCCCAAGGAAAGTCTTCCTTCTGGTTCCGATGATGGTGCAGGGAACTGAGACCCTATTTCTATAACCAGGACTGCCAATTGCCACCCCTGCATTATTGCAGATGGCTGCCCGTATTTCCTTCAGGTCTTCATAATCCTCTGGAACAGTGTTTGCTTGGTCTTAAGAAAACACCCCGCAAAGTTCTTCCTAGCAAGGTGATTCATTCCAGGCAACAATGAACAGCTGAATCTGCTGCCGTTCCCTTTTGTGCCGCGGAAGATTATTTGCAAAGGGGTTATTGTTTATCCTGCCTTCTTTATACACAACTCAAGGTGGCAAAACTAATACTCCTGCCTATTTTCCTCACCACAATAACTCTTATCGAGTGAGCTGCACTGAGAGAGGGGCTGACCCAAGGTAAGACGAACTGCTTAATCCAGAAGCCGTAGGTGATCTAGTAATAAATGACAGACACACACACAGCAATGAGAATGGGAGGACTGGGGTCACACACTGACTTTTATCTTTTTAGGGTAAATAGCTTTGTGTGTGTGTGTGTGTGTGCAAGTGTCGGAGCTTAAGGAGTGCGGCTGTCGTCACTTGTCACTCGTCAACACGCCCTAGTTCAGTTTTGCACACAAGAAGCACCACAAGAGCCCCAGTGGCGCAGTGGTCAAAATGCAGCGTTGCAGGCTGACTCTGCCCACAACCAGGAGTTCGATCCTGACCGGCTCAAGGTTGACTCGGCCTTCCATCCTTCCCAGGTTAGTAAAATGAGGACCCAGATTGTTGGGGAAGATAGGCGGGCTTTGCAACTTGCTTACAGGGGGCCTTAAAGCACTATGAAGCGGTATATGCCTAAGTGCTATTGCTATTCTACCCTTTCTGTGGCTCCTCCGAGTCTGTCTCGCCTTCAAATAGAGCCTCTTGGTCTCTTCAGTCCCATAAAGGCTACAGGCCTTCATATTTTTTGGGGGGAGAATCCCTGATGTTCCACCTGCCGAGACGGGAAGAATGGTTCACCGACAAAAGGGCGAACGACAAAACCGCGCCCGACTATACCGTGTCGCTGACGTCATCAACAGGGCGACAACAGCGCGGAGACAGAAGCACGCTGTCAACCCTAAACCTAAACTTAACCCCTAACCCTAAATCTAACCCTTAACCTAACCCTAACCCTAACCTAACTCTAACCCTTAACCTAACCCTAACCTTAAGTTGAATCGGCTTTCTTTCAAAGCGCTATTTAAAGCGCCCTTCTTTCTCCGCGCTGGCTGTTGTCGCCACGTTGATGACATCAGCGATGCGGTTTAGTTGGGTGCGGTTTAGTCGTTCGCCCTTTTGACGGGTCACGGGGAAGAACTGTGGGTCATTTAGGAAAGTCAATGTAAAGGGGGGGGGGAGAGGAACAGGTGGAAAGTCTTAGAATCCCTCGAATGGCATCTTACGGAGTGTTTGCC